GTAGTTTATTGTGGCACCAGAGCTCTCTTGACAGAGAAGGCTAAATGCTTCACAAAATTACAGTTCCCATTATTCCCTAACATGGAGCCAGGGCAGTTAAAGCGGTCTCAAACTGGATTATTGCTGCAGTGTGTTTTGGATGAAAGAAAGACTAAATATCTCACAAACTACAAATCCTTGTGGTTTCGAAAGTGCCCCATTTAAATCTCAGTGCCTGAGAACATGGATGGTTACTAGGGGCCTCCCTTCTCTGTTTGCCTAAAAAAAAAGTGGGAGAAGCAAGGGAGAGGGAAAAAAGGAATTTAGGAGCATCTTTTGAGACTAATTTATATTTCAGTGGGAGTAGAATTCAGACACAGCCGTGTCAGTCTGGAATATCAGTATACAAAGGAATCTTCTAACATCTTTGAGACAAACTGTGCGAAAGAAGTTGTAGCATGAGCTTTTGTAGACTTGGATTGCATCTGTACTGCAGAATCAGTGCAGTTTGATACTGTTTTAATTGTGATGCCTCAATGCTATGGAATTCTCGGATTTGCAGTTTTGTGGGATATTTAGCCTTTCTTTGTTAGAGAGCTCTAGTGCCACTGCCATGAGGTTTCATTGGCAAGTTTCTTCAAAGGAACTTTTGCCATTACCATCCTCTGACACTGAATGTGACTTACCCAAGGCTACCCTTGTTTACATGGTTGAGCTGGAATTCGAATCCTGGTCTCTAGAGTCATAGTCCAATGGCTCAAACCACTACACCATGCTGCCTCCTTGTCAATCTAAATATAAGGTTGTTTTAGCACAGGGGTAGGCAACCTTTCCCCTTTAAGGGCCGAGGGACTTCAGTTCCCAGAAGCCTCAGCCATGTTGGCCAATAGTTCCATGTTGGCCAATAGCTCCTGGATTCTGGGAGCTGAAGTCCCTCGGCCCTTAAAGGGGAAAGGTTGCCTACCCCTGTTTTAGCAAATTGTTAAGACTGAGTGTGCTTTTTCCTCCAAGATTGTAAGTCAGAAATTATATGAATAGTCTAGTAGCATACAGAAGTTTCTTTTATTTTTATTGTATTGTCTTTTATTTGCAGGGGAAGGCAGGTGGGTAGCTTGGGGTAGTTTTGTAACTTTATGTTGTGTATTGTATATTTGTTTTGCTTGCTCTTATAGTAATAAAGATTGTCACAAAATATATATGAGTGTTTAATTTTTACACTATGAGGTTGTTAAATACATTTTTAATGTACCTTAGTTGCAGCGGAAGAACTCCTCCTTATATATCCCCACTGCCTTATGGCCCTTGGATACAAGGCCCCACATTTCTTTGGCTTCTGAAGGAAAAAATCAGAAGAGAACTATCCAGTCCAACCTGCTTCTGCCATGCAGGAACTCACAATCATAGCACCCCCCAATGGATGGCCATCCAGCTTCTGTTTAAAGACCTCCAAAGAAAGAGACTCTGCCATGCTCCGAGGGAATGTGTTCCACTATGGAACAACTCTTATTGTCAGGAAGCCCTTCTTAAAGTTTAGAATAGAATAGAACAGAAATCACAGAGTTGGAAGAGATCACAAGGGCCAACCAATCCAACCTCCTGCCATGTAGTAATACACAAAGCATTCTTTAGGCGAGCATTCTGGTTTCGGTCGGTCAACCAATTACAAATCCACCTAACAGTCGCATTGTCTAGTCCGCATTTTACTGGCTTTTTTTGCAAGAATATGAGAGACCTTATCAAAGGCCTTACTGAAATCAAGATACGCTACATCCACAGCATTCCTTCATCGGCAAGGCTTGTAAATCTTTTTAAAAAGAGATACAAGATTAGTCTGGCATGACGTGTTTTTGAGAAACCCATGTTGACTTTTGGTGATCACAGCATTCCTTTCCAAGCGCTTACAGACTGTTTCATGATCTGCTGTAGAATCTTTCCTGGTATTGACGTTACCCAAACTACTACATCATCTTGACTCTGAAAGCAATAGCAATAGCAAATCCATTTCTAAACCCCTTATCAGTGTGCTTAAACAGTCCCTAAGTGGTTTACAATGTGTAAGCCAATTACCCCTAACAAGCTGGGTACTAATTTTACCAACCTACAAAAGGATGGAAGGCTGAGTCAACCTTGGAGCCCCTCAAAATTGAACTCACAACGTTGTGGCTGCAGTACTGTCATTTAACCATTGCACCACCAGGGCTCCCGGTCTACTGCATGGGATCTCAGGGCCAAATGCTAAAGAACTGAACAGACCATGCTTGTCCCCATTACCTACAACAACAATATAATGTAAGAATGCAAAATACTAGGAACAGTAGCAGAATATACACACAATAACATCTAATGTTGCCAATATAAATAAAACAGCTGTTAACATTTGGCCATGATGTTAGCAGCATCTGATCATATAGGAACAGGTCATGTACTAGTAGTCAACTCACCAAGTAAGAAAGGTTTAGTAAGGAAGTTTTTGAAAGACTGATGGATGAATGGCAAAGGTTGTGTTTTAGTAAGAATGTAGTTGAAGGTGCTAGAGGGTAGGAGTAAGTCGTAGAAGATCAGAGTAGGTAGGTTGGAAGATAAAAATAAGGAATTGAAGGCGATGGCAGAAGAGAAGAGAGAGACAAGGAAGGATACGGAGAGGAAGGAAAGAGAAAGGGATAGGGAAAGGATAGGGAGAAGGTAGAGGAAAGGAAAAAAGGAGAAAGAGTAGGAAAGAAAGGTGATGTTTACAGAATACTAGGAAGACTAAGAGGATATTAGGAAGACTAGGAATCTATGATTAATCTTTAACTAACCTTACCTTTTTAAGAGACAAAATCAATATAAGGACATGACTATGGTCAATTTATGACATTACTGGCTATAACTCTGAACCTTAAATGATCAAAATTGTACTAGATTACCAACTATCGTATATATATTTATGAGAAATTTGTGTTTGTATGATTTTGTGTGAATTTGTTATTTTTTAAACAATAAAGTTTAAAAAAAACAAACACATTTGGCCATGATGAAGATGTACTCTAAAACCCATTTCCCTGGTGGCAGAGGTTCAACTCACTACCTCTTATTGCTGGAGTATCAGCCCTGGGATAGAATTAGTTGCTTCGAGGCCCAGTCCTACTAAACCCCATGCGAGAATGAGCATTCAGTTTAGTAATATTTTAGGCTATTTTATTAAAGTGCACAAAGAAGTACACACAGATGCACACCCCACAAAAAGAGGACCAGACTTCTCCTTGTCTAGGCACATTCTTGTTACCTCTATAACACACCTATCAAGATAAAAAGTTTCTATTTAATAAAGCCTGTTTAATAGAGCAAGGGGTTAGTATGAACAGTATCTTTGGAGGCTTTTGTAAAAACATAGCCTTAATCTCTCATCTATTGGTCCAATCAAAGACAAATCTAACCCATCCCTATTAAGGTCAATAAAAATTCCCCCATTTTAATGGGAAGTGAGATTTCACTGGCTTTTAGGGAGCATTTACGGTATAGTATCTTCATCATCTGTTGGTCTTATCAGAGACTAATCCTCATTAATGTCAAAAAAGATTTTTGGTGCAATAGGAAGTGAGATTTCTCTATTTATATGAAGCTACTTCATGGACCCACCAACTGAGTGTCATTGCTCACCATTTCTGGCTGGCTGCCATCAGATGACTACACCTATGAATAACTCTGTTGTACCAATGCAATACACCTTTTTAGTTTTTCATCACAGTTTGGTCACTCGTTTATTGTTTTATCTAGCGGATGTTTTGGTTTAAATGCTCAGATGTAGCTGGTCAGATTGTATTACTTACACACATTGGGCTTTTTACTCTACATGGACACACTTATTTCCTTAGCATACAGTCTTCAGGGGCGTAAATGTTTGCAAAACATGTATCAAATTAGCACTTAAGTGTGTGAAAAATGCAAATATTAATCTACAACATTGTACACCATCTTACCCAGAAAGACACACAGGCAAAAGAGTGGGTGCATGGGACACAACTAACTTTCAGACTCAAATGATCTGATACTCTGCAGGGCCCAAGGCCGCCTGAACATTATTGCAAACAACTGATTTCTCAATTTCTTCATATTTCCATATCCACATCCATGTTTCCTTCTTTTTCATTCTTCATCAATAGCTTCCCAACCCTTCCCAGCTATTCTCCTAGGTTTTGCAGCAATAATGTCATATCATAATCTCTTCCAATTCTAATCCTTTTCTTCTGGCATTCCAGTTTTATCAAATTACCAGAGGGAGACCCAGCCAGTCTAATTGCAATGGTCTAAAAATAACAAAAAAACTAACTCTGGTAAAAACAGAATAAATGATTTCAGGAGCTGCAGTCCCAAATCGGTAAAATAGCAGTGCAGGAGGAACACCTAGCTGCTTTCAATTAATTCATATCTCTGGGGCCAGATTTACTCTGGGGCCAGTTTCCAAGCATAATAAAGGGATTTGCATGTGATATTCTGAGTTTATGTCTATTCTCTTTGAGAATTCAAGAGAACAGAGCCTGAGAGAGCAATGACTGCCAAATGTTGTCCCAGTATTACCAAAAATTCATTATAATCAGCAGTGTGGTAGCAGCAGGAAAACACAGACCAATTCTAGGCAGCTATATAGTACCCAGATCAAGGGAAATTATAGTACCACTCTGCTCCACTTTGGCCAGGCCTTACCAGGAACACTGTGTCTAGTTCTAGTTAACTTAGTTTAAGAAGGGTATTGACTAGCTGGACTATGTCCAAAACAGGGTAACCAAAATGGTAAAAGTTCTGGAAACTAAGACTTATGGGAAAACAATTGGTGGAGTTACATAAATTTTGTCTGGAGAAAAGATGACGTGGCAATCAAATCTGACCAGGGTAGATGGAATGAGCTTGCATTTGCTATTCCAGAGCATAGGACCCTAACAAAACAATTACAAGAGAGGAGATTCTAGCAAAATCCTCAATACTAAGAGCTATTCACTATTAGAACAGCCTTATGCAGAAAGTGGTATAGTCTCCTGAAACAGAGATTTTCAACCAGAGGTTAGATAGCTACATGTTATGAATGCCTTAGCTGCAGATGTTTGCACTGTCAGGGGATAGGATTAAATTGGGTTCTATGCAGACCTGATTCCTGTTTATACTCTTGATGAGTTCAAAACGCTAACTTGGAAGCAAAGCATTTCCCACATACCAAATGTTTTTTATGGTTTATCACCTGCATGGGCTCTCTTATGCTTCACAATATAAGAAATGTGAGCAAAATATTTCCCACACTCCTAATATTTGCATGGCTTATCTCCTATGTGGAGTCTTTTGTGATTTACAAGGTGTGAACTCTGAGCAAAACATTTCCCACACATCAGGCATTTATATGGTTTCTCTCCTGTGTGGAGTCTCTTGTGCTTCACAAGGTATGAACTCTGAGCAAAGGATTTCCCACACTCCTGACATTTGTATGGTTTCTCTCCTGTGTGAAGTCGCTGGTGGCTCACAAGGTGTGAGCTCTGAATAAAACATTTCCCACATTCCTGGCATTTGTATGGTTTCTGTCCTGTGTGGAGTCTCTGGTGGATTACAAGCTTTTGACTGTGAGCAAAACACTTCCCACACTCCTGGCATTTGTACGGCTTCTCTCCAGTGTGGATTTTCTGATGTGTTACAAGGGCTGAATTCCAAGAAAAACATTCACCGCACTCTTGGCACTTGTATGGTTTCTCACCTGTGTGGAGTCTCCTGTGATGCACAAGGTATGAACTCTGAGCAAACCTTTTCTCACACTCAGG